GGGTAGCTGGTGTGTGTGTGTGTTGCTGGGGGGTGGTAGTTGGTGTGTGCGCGTGTCCCGGGGAGGGGTAGTTGGTGTGTGCGCGTGTCCCTGGGGCGGGGTAGCTGGTGTGGGCCCATTTGTCTCTGGGGGGGTGGGTAGCTGGTGTGTGCGCATGTTGCTGGGGGGGCGGTAGTTGGTGTGTGCGCATGTCCCTGAGGGTGTGGGTAGCTGGTGTGTGCACGTGTCGCTGAGGGGTGGTAGTTGGTGTGTGAACCTGTCCCTGGGGGAGGTAGTTGGTGTGTGTGCGCGTGTCACTGGGAGGTGATAGTTGGTGTGTGTGTGTGTGTGTGTGTGTCCCTGGGGGTGGTAGCTGGTGTGGGACCGTGTGTCCCTGGGGGGTGGTAGCTGGTGCATGAGCCTCCCTAGGGGATGGTGTTTGCGTGTGTCCCCATCCACAGGGGTTCGCTAGTCAGTTAAATTATTAACCTTTTGCTTTTCCATCCCTCTTGCTTTCCCTGCCAAGCCCAGAATTCTTGTTTTCTTTCTTGGGGGGTTGTGACAGCAGCAGGCTGGGGCTCTGGATGTGACCTCAGCTTCCACCTACACCCAATGCACTCTGCAGCTGGGAGAGGACCTAGATCAGAGCCTTAGTCTGGCCAGTTACTCTTGGCTCTACGCTGCCTGACAGGCAGGTCTCCGGGCTGCCCCCTGCCCCTGTCCTCGCTGAGCAGCTCCTGTGTGCAGGGCATTTCATCAGCTCTCCCTGATCAGGGTGACGGGCCTTGCAGCCCAAAAGAGGAGAGAGCCCACTTAGCTGAGTGTGGTCGATTGCCTGTGTCAATGTCCAGGCAGCAGGACGCTCCTGTGGGGCTCCCCTACCCTGGACGATGGGGGGGCAGCTGCAGAGATCAGGATGCCTTGTGCCTTTGCTTAGATCCCTGCTGCGGGTTCCACTTGCGTTACCCTGGGTGGCTGGAGAGGCTCCCGTTTGCTTTGCTCAGGAAATGGGCATCACTGACTGGCTCTGCCCACGAAACTCGGGGGCCAGGCTCGCCAGGAGAGGCACAGGCTAGACCTCTCCTTGCAACAATGTACCAACTTTCAGTCCGGCTCATCTACCCAACAGGGAGACGCCAACTCAGAGAATCACGGACATGTCGGGCTGGAAGGGACCTCGAGTCCAGCCCCCTGCGCTGAGGCAGGACAAGTAACCCTAGACCAGCCCTGACCCGAGTTTGTCCAACCTGCTCTTAGATGCCACACCCTCCCTTGGAAATGCTCAACTCCCCTTAGAGTCCGAGAGTTTTGCTAATATCTAAGCTGCAGATTAAGCTGGTTACTTCTTGTTCTACCTGCAGTGGACACAGAGAACGATCGATCACAGCCCTCTTTATATCTGCCCTGAACATATGAAAGACTGTCATCAGGGCCCCCCGTCTTTTCTCAAGACTAAAGTGCCCCGTTTCTTTGACCTTCCCTTGGGTCAGGTTTTCTAACCCTTTTCTCATGTTTATCACATCCGTTTTAAACCATGTGAATGTATAGGAAGATAATTAGGCGTTTATCACTAAACTAAAAGATAACTGGCAAACCCTGTCCATACCGGCCTGCCTTTCACTGCCTTTCCCACTGCCCTGGCCCTGGGGCCTTGCTAACCCCATTCGTCTGGGGGAGAACGCCTTCAGCAAGCCCTGATGACTGCGTTCCTAGTGCAGGACGGGAGGCTGAGGCAGATCTGAGAGCTCCCGGGTAACCTTGTCTCTGTCTCCCAGCCTACAGAAGGGTGATAAGGCTGAGAACCAGGACTCCTGCGAGGGCAGAGAGCAGCGCACATAGACCAGTCCCCAGTCTCTCCAATCCCAGCAGCTCTGTCACTAAGTGTGCAGTGTCTCTCTGCTGTAGCGATGTGAGATGCCCCACAGCGGGCAGAGCAGCTGGGCCCTGCTTTGCAATGGGACGCTGCCCCATGCTCGGGCTGGGCCTTGGCAGCGTGTACAGGCTGAGCCCAGGTGGAGCCTGGACCCTTGCTCCTTGCCCCCGATGGCAGGGAGTTATCAGGAGCCAGGAGGAAGAGCCGAATTCATGTTAATTAGTAACAAGAGGATCTGATGAAAGGAGAATTCTGGGAGCAGAATACACAGAGCAATGAACTGGAGAGCACAGAGAAAGTGAGCAAAGGGCCCAGACTCTGCACGATGCAGCCAGGCTGGTCGCTGGCCCCTGACTTCAGCCCCCCACCACTCTGGAGTGCCGGGTGGTTTGGTCACTTGCCCTGCAGCTGCTGATTCACAGGGAAATAGCTTCACTCAGATCCTAAAGCGCAGCCATCACGGCATGTCTTGGGGGCGCGTCGACATCGCTCGCCCCAGGCGCTCACAGATCCTGAGTCAGGCCCAACCAGTCGTGAGAGTGGCTCAAAAATCCCAAACGCTGGGTTCTGGCCATTTGCTCTCTGAGCCTTTGGGGGTCAGTAGGATCAGAAGAGGCTAAAATAGGGAAAGAACAAGTTAAAAATTATTTAGACAAGTTAAATGTCGTCAAGTCACCAAGGCCTGATGAAATGCCTCCTAGAATACTCAAGGAGATATCTGAGACATTAGCAATTATCTTTGAAAAGTCATGGAAGATGGGAGAGATTCCAGAAGACTGGAAAAGGGCAAATATAGTACCAAGCTATAAAAAGGGAAATAAGGACAACCCAGGGAATTACAGACAAAAGTCAGCTTAATTTCTGTACGCAGAAAGATAATGGAGCAAATAATTAAGCAATCAATTTGCAAACATCTAGAAAATGATAAGGTGATAAGTAACAGTCAGCATGGATTTGTCAAAAAAGAAATCACGTCAAACCAACCTGATAGCTTTCTTTGACAGGGTAACAAGCCTTGTAGATGGGGGGAAGCAGTAGAGGTGGTATATCTTGACTTTAGTAAAGCTTTTGATACTGTCTCACATGACTGCCTGGGAAGGAGTACTGAGGAAAGGGATCTGGGGGTTATAGTGGATCACAAGCTAAATATGAGTCAACAGTGTAACGCTGTTGCAAAAAAAGCAAACATCATTCTGGGATGTATTAGCAGGAGAGTTGTAAGCAAGACATGAGGAGTAATTCTTCTGCTCTACTCCGTGCTGATTAGGCCTCAACTGGAGTATTGTGTCCTGTTCTGGGCACCACATTTCAGGAAAGATGTGGACAAAGTGGAGAAAGTCCAGAGAAGAGCAACAAAAATGATGAAAGGTCTAGAAAACATGACCTCTGAGGGAAGATTGAAAAAAATGGGTTTGTTTAGTCTGGAGAAGAGAAGAC